CCATTAAATCAATAAAATCGATTTTTGCTTGAAAAATAATCCATTAATGAGTAAAAATCGATTTTTTGGTTTAGGAATAATCGATTAAATATTTAAAATCGATTTGGTCTTTATGAATAATCAATTTGTTCTTGATAAATGGGTACTGACTTCAAACATCTTGTCTGAACGAAGTTTTAATCGATTTTTTAGGAAGATAATAATCGATTTTCGGTCACTGTTCATCGTCTTCTTCCTTCGGTCCATTTTCGGAAATACCAATTTTAGTTACCAAACTTCAATTAAACTATATAGAAATGTTCTCCAAGGTTCATAGATCATTTTAGGATCATCAAAACATATTTTTAACATCAAATTCAAGGTTTGTGATTCTTGGTTCTTCAAACACGTCAAACACAAAACTCAACCAAATGACCATTTATGAACGTAAATACAACATATATGAACATTCTAATCTTTTGATATATCTACGCGCTTACCTCGAAGCTAAATGGAGGTTTTGAAGATTTTTCGACGAAACTTCCGGCGACGATAGCTCTAAACTTCGGCGACCTCACACCAATACAACAGCACCACTGCGTTCTCCTCACTCCCAGCAATAGAATAGAATGAAACTTTGTAAGAAATGGTGAAGAATGGAGGGTGTTATGGTAGCCTTTTATAGGAGAAGGAAGAGGAAGATGACACAGGTTGATGAGCTCTCCTTCGACTGTTTCGGCGGCTGGGTGGAGCTGGATGCGATTTATTCCCATTTCAAACGCAAGTCCCTGATTGGGACTAATTCGGTCCCAGTCGGGGAACACTTTTTGGTCCAACTTTCTCCGAATTGAATTCCGTTTGCACCGTTGCGATCGGATAGTTAAACTCTATCCAACGATATAATTTTTATATTTATTTGTAACACTTTTTCTGATCATATTTTTTTGGGTGTTTGACTTTGACAGAGTCAAAATTGGCTTAATTGACCTTTCTCATAAAAGGTTCTCTCATTTAATTCATATCAGTTATTCTCATGATTTTTATTAAGAAATCATTTCCATATTTACATTCTAAACAATTTCTTTATTTACTCTTGATTTGGGTCTGTACTCAGGTTCCAATCAAGACCACACAAGTAGTCCACATACTGGATTTATCTATATGAGATTTATCCTAAATACGTTTATTGGATGTCAATACATATTTTATTTCGGCCCAAAGCCCAATAATAATTTATTTTAATCAAAACAAATTTGATTAATTTGAATAATAATTCATTAATAATTCTAGGGTATATTTTGGGGCGTTACATTTCTTCCCCCCTTAAAGAAATTTCGTCCTCGAAATTCTTCTAAGGTCAAACGTTCAACATTTCGTAGTGATCTCACTTAATCATGACCGTGTCATGCTCAATGGGTTAAACCATAATTACGTCATTATCCATGTAATCCCAAACTGTCGATGTTATCAAACTCGTTCTTTCTTCAAGAGGTTAACAATCTTAGATTAAGCAAGGTATCCAACAATCCTTTTGCAAGTTCCCGTTCAAATTCAACATCCATAACTTAGGTTCCTTTGTAAGGAATAACATCGTATTTTGGAGCATATTTAACATATTTGCACATCACTTCGTTCATTCACAAGTCTCGATTGTACGTCATTACTCAACAACATTCCTTCTTTGATTGAAAGTTCTTCAATAGCCTTTGTAGTTTCGAATCATCACCTTCACGATAGGTATAGTT